TGTATATATAATATATTGCAATGTGAAAGAGCATACCTCAAATGTGTCTGTGCATACGCTGCATGCAAGTATATAAAGTATGTACAGTGGATAAGCATTATCATTTGTTCAAATGTCAACAACCACCTCTCTCTGTCATAAGAGCATTTGTTAAGCGTCTATATATATATATATATAAACGTATGTGTACATTCTCTCTCTCCCTTTTCCGCTTTCTGTGAAAAGTGAGGCAAAATAAAATGGTATACACTTTTTAGTCCAACGCTCGCTCCTCCTTTATGGGTGTGGCCTAACGCTGAGTTCAATTTTTTTATTAAGATTAATAATTGTACATCTTTCAATGAGAATTGGGTTCAATAGTATAATATAGAAAAGCAAAAGTCGATTTGGTTCTTATACATACATATACGTACAGAGTTATACTTAATAAATTAACTTACAGTATGGACAAATGACTAATTTTACGTAAGCATTGCACCATGTAGATATACATATGTAGGTATACGTGCAAAATATTTATCAGTCTCAGCTAAAAGTAAAACAGAAGATGTTGATCTACAATTCTGTGTTATATCGTTTTGGTCTTATGTCACGGAGTTTGGTCTTCCAATGTTTTGATATCTACAATACAAAATGCGAGCCTATCATTTATGTGCTCTGACTTCTACCAACATACAAATATTCCCTTCTATCTAAGCCAGGGCCATAGAGAGAAAATTGAGACATACATATATCCTCCTCAGGCCCCCGTATATTTATTTATATTATATATGTATATATATTTTGAGAAAAAATTTGTTTAATTTTACCATATGAGAGGTCTCCATCACAGATCTTAGCCTATAGTGAAGTGCCATCGTTGTCTAATTCTTATCATACATAGGTAGGCAAAGTACACACATCCTTAAACCGCATATTCCAAACAACATACTTTTTGAAGTACCGTTTCTGGACTCACCTACTCAGAGGATCCTTCTCTCGAGATTGAGCAGTAGAAGGCATATGAAAATAATTTTGTTGATTGCGAAATTGTAGGCAATTTTACATTTAACAAGTAAGGAAGAACTAAGTTCGGATGTAACCGAACAGTTTTAGTTCAATTTAGATATATGGGAAATAGGCGTGGTTGTAATCCGATCTCGCCCATTTTCGTATTATTACAAAGAAATATAAGAAGAATATTATGTACCGAATTTGGTTGAAATCGGTTAAGCAGATCCCAAGATATGGGTTTTCACCTAAAAGTGGGCGGCGCCACTCCTACTATCTAATTTTGAACGTGGTTCCTATAAAATCATCCCAAAAATTAAATTTAATGCCTCTGGCTTGTTTAGTGCTTGATTTATCGCGCTTTTAGTAGTTTTTAACAGTAACGTTATACGGGGAGTGGGCGGGGTTGTCACCCGATTCCACCCATTTCCCCACCGTCGATAGAGATGCTAAAAAAATTTGTCCCAGTGAATTTTGTTATTATAGCTTCAGTGGTATAGAAAATATGCACATTAAACCTATAAGCGGGCGGGACTACGCTCACTTAAAAAAAAATTAAACTTCAGATGCCCCTCCTTAATTTGATCCTGTATATCAAATAAAAGTCTTGTATCTTGTTGTGGAGCTTCGTTAGGGCTATTTATTTGTTTTTGATTAATGGCGTTTTGTGTCGGTGGCAGTGGTCCGATTATGCCCATATACAATACCAACCGTCTTACGGTACCAAGAAACATGTGTACCATGAAACTTGGTATCTAAATTTTTACTAAAGTTACAGCTTGCACAGACGGACGGACGGACTCACAGTCACCCGGATTTCAACTCGTCTCTTCATCCTGATCATTTATATATACATATATAAGCCTATATCTAACTCGATTAGTTTTAGGTAATATAAGAGACCGTTAGGTGAACAAAACTATTATACTCTGTAGCAACAAGTTGCGAGAGTATAAAAATTTACTTACACATTTGTATATAAGTATATATATACCATGTGTAAATATGCATGTATACATACATTAGTTCTTAATTATACTATGAAATTTTATTAAATTTATGAATTATGTCTTTGTGGATAAATTAAAAAAAAATGCTGACTATAACAATAAAATAGAAATTAAGGAAGTTATCTTGTTGACTATATATACTTGTATATAGGGTACAAAATAGAAATTAAAAAATATGTTGTTATTTCAAATGATTATATTGCCTTTCGTCGTTTCGATATTACAAATTATTGATATTCCAGTACACAAATACATACATACAAGTACAATGTGTGTACATGTGTGTTGCATAGATAAATAAAACAGAGCAAAAGAAGATTGATATAATCAGGTTATAGTTGCTTTATTCTTAATGGAATATAAAACGTTGGTATATATGTATCCGAAATAGGACGAGAATGAGTTGGGTTCGCACTTTTGTTTGTACAAGTATACATACGTGTATAGATTTATATACACACTTCCATTATTTTATTTAAATCAATATAAGTCTGTATATTTTTACGCATATATCTACAGAGGTATCTACAGACACATTGTTAAAGAATGATGGTTGTTTATTGGAGATTGTGGCTTGGCTTACTACATACACCAAAAAGTAAAGATACAAAACTCGGCGTCAAGAAGAACGAATCAAAGGAAGCACGAAACTCGATGCAATACGCATAGTTGACAATTGCTGACATCAGTGGGTTGCACTTTCGGATTTTTTACGTATTCTGGCTACACCTATATATGTACATTCAAAGGTATGTGATATATATAGAATTCTATGAATGCGTGCCTGTATATGTACATTTAACATTGCAGTGAAATCAAGTAGTATGAGCCTAAACAAACTAGTCAATCGCCTGACTTTTTTCCATACAAACACCTGTTCTTCAAAACACTACTATCTGAGATTAGTCAGATTCCTGTTAGTCTCCATATATGTACGATACATTTATACTACTATAAAATATAAATGAAACAAGTAAGGAAGGGCTAAGTTCGGATGTAACCGAACATTTTATACTCTCGCAAAGTCAAATAGTATACTCGTTTGAGATTTCTTTGTGGATTGACTGATATTTTCGGTAGAAGGTCAACTATAGGCACTGGGGTCCACATATTTAGTACTTAGGGGCTTAAACAGTTTTGGTTCGATTTCGACAATTTTTGGCCACAAGGTGGCATACTTTAATCGCATTATTCACGCAAAGTTTTATCCCGATACAGTCATTGTTGCCTGATTTGCATAGTGGAAAGTGAAATAATCAGATGGAATTTAAAATGGTGTTATATGGAAAGTAGGCGTGGTTGTAGTCCGATTTCGCCCATTTTTGCACTGTGACATAGAAACATGAAAAGAACGTTATGCACCGAATTTGGTTGAAATCGGTTAAGCAGATCTCAAGATATGGGTTTTCACCTAAAAGTGGGCTGTGCCACGCCCACTGTCTAATTTTGAACGCGGTTCCTATAAAGTCATCTCATACCATCCCAGAGATAAATTTAATGACTCTGGCGTGTTTAGTGCTTGATTTATCGCGCTTTTAGTAGTTTTTAACAGTACCGTTTATATGGGAGTGGGCGGATTTGCCACCCGATTTCAACTATTTTCACACCGTCAATAGAAGTGCTAAAAATATTTGCTTCCAGTGAATTTTGTTATTATAGCATTAGCGGTTTAGGAGATATGCACATTAAACCTATTAGAGGCGGGACCACGCCCACTTTTAAAAATTTTAACTGCAGATGCCCTCCTAATGTGATCCGTGATGTACAAATAACAGTCTTGTATCTTATTTTCGGAGCTTAGTTATGGCAAGTTATTTGTTTTGATTAATGGCGTTTTGTGGGCGTGCAGTGGTCCGATTACGCCCCATGCAATACCAACCGTCTCACAGTACCATGAAACATGTCTACCAAGTTTCATAAAGATATCTCAATTTTACTCAAGTTAGAGCTTGCACGGACGGACGGACAGACGGACAGACGGACGAGACGGACGGACGGACAGACAGTCACCCGGATTTCAACTCGTCTCTTCATCCTGATCATTTATATATATATAACCCTATATCTAACTCGATTAGTTTTAGGTGATACAAACAACCGTTAGGTGAACAAAACTATTATACTCTGTAGCAACAGGTTGCGAGAGTATAAAAATCTCCAATTTTGGTCGAAAAAAACATGAATAAAATAAAGTAAATTTCTGAACAAACTGTAAAAACGATTTTATTAAATGTAACCCGGGTTACAAATTTTTTAATACAAAATTGGAATAAAAGTTATATTTTCAACAAGTTTGGGATTAAAAACTGAAAATAATTTTTTTTATTTGAATGTGCAAGTTTGGCGATCAGTGCTCTAGAGTGCTGAAGATGATGGATCTGTGCAACCCCTAGTACGCAAACGCCAACAAATATTAATTCCAAAACAATTTCTTTTTCCTATTTAGAAAATCCCGGTATTTGGGATTACAAAATAAATAAAAAATTAATTCAAATGATAATACAATTATTTTTTTAATGCATTATTTGCAACCCTGAATCTAATTTAGATTTTCTCAATCCTATATGTTCTAACTTTTATTAACATTTTCCAAATAAATTCATAAATATTATAAAATGTATAAAACTTAATTCAGGGAACCAATTTGGAACCTGAATATAGCTCCTTTAAATCGGAGAAACTAATAAAGTAAATACTAATAAACGAATTCACTTTAATTGGTATAAAGCTGATTCTTTTCTGATTAGTTCAATTTCAACAGGATATTTGCGTAGAAATCTAGTATATATTGTGATTATGATGCCTCGTTGAAGGGCATGTACATATTCATACATTAAAAATGGGCACTAATACCAACAAAACGAGTGATGCTCAGCCCCCTTTTGGATGTCCGTGTTGGCGAAGGTGGTGGCAATGGCGTATATATAATTCCTGCTGTATTACTGGTGATTGCGTGTTACGGTTTTTCGGGGTTGCAGACACATGTCCTTTCTGCTTCTGTCATGGTATTATGATAAATCTCAAACAGAAAGCCGAAGAGCGAACATCGTGAAATTGTAACCATTGCGATTTTGTATAGTGATATTACTCATGATTCTGGTCCTAAACATCGAAATACAATTGACCAAAGGAAATCACATAACCTATAGTGATACCGTAGCAGTTTAACGGCGTAGAAAAGTGAAAGCTGTGCAATTAATGTTAACGTTGCAATGAATTCATTGCTAATAGAAGGAGTTTAATAATATTATTTAACAATTCTTTAATATAATTATAATATAAGTGAATAAAAAACAGCTACATATAATACATAAATACCTATACAAATTTAAGGGCATAAAATCTGCCTCGCTGATTTTACCAAGTATATTAATAAGTTAAACAGTGAAGTTAAAATGAATAAAAATGAGCATTCTCCCGGAAGATGCACTGCACCGCAAGGTATGCTATATCAATATATATATATGTGCAAATTTGTGTGTGTAGAATTTACTTAATAATAATTGTTCGGTTATGGCAAAGACCAATAACAATTTAAGCTTTTGCAAATATTATTAAATATTCTCGATTAAAACAAATGATTTATAAAACTAAGATGTGAATGTGGGCCCATTTTAAGACATACGATCCTTTCTATAAAAATTACATAAAAAGATAAAACATATAAAAAATTCATGAAATAAAATATAGATTGGAAAATATCAATATGCTAAAGATTTATTCTTCTTCGGTACTTACTTAAAAGTTGGGAAACTGTCACCGCCAGTTTTGAATTTATCATAATTTATGATTGTGAATGGTTTTGACAGCATATAATGCTACATCGGAACAATTGGGTTCATGCCTTTGAAATATTTTTTTTGACTTCAGTGCCGATGGTTGGATTTATTATCAAAAATATCGATCCATCTGAGAGATATTTTTATGAAATTAAAAGGAGACCTTTTCCTGATAGTAATGTACCCTGGTTGTAATATAATATTATATACTCAAATACCCTCAATATGCATGATATTTTAACAAAATTTAGTGCGTATATAATCTTCGACATACTGTGGTTTGATAGCAAAATTGGGTGAAATGGATTCATGAATTACTCCGGAACTCGTATACTATTCATATATAACCAATAAGCGGCTTTCCGACTTTTCATATGATTTTATACTGTATATATATATATGTCAGCGAATAATAATAGTAAAATCGATTCGGACTTTGGTCTAGCCATCTGATTGGCTTTATTCTCATACGACTAATATATTGAATTTCGTCCCTTCAGTTGAGTTTATAAACTGGCTTTATGATTCTGGCAATAGTAGAAAAATTAATGCTAAACAAGTAAGGAAGGGCTAAGTTCGGATGTAACCGAACATTTTATACTCTCGCAAAGTCAAATGGTATACTCGTTTGAGATTTCTTTGTGGATTGACTGATATTTTCGGTAGAAGGTCAACTATAGGCACTGGTGGCAACATATTTAGTACTTAGGGGCTTGAACAGTTTTGGTTCGATTTGGACAATTTTTGGTCACAAGGTGGCATACCTTAAACGTATTATTTACGCAAAGTTTTACCCCGATATAATCATTGTTGCTTGATATGCATAGTGGAAAGTGAAAGAATCAGATGGAATTGAAAATGGTGTTATATGGGAAATAGGCGTGGTTGTAGTCCGATTTCGCCCGCACTATAACATAAAAATATGAAAAGAACGTTATGCACCAAATTTGGTTGAAATCGGTTAAGCAGATCCCATGATATGGGTTTTTACCTAAAAGTGGGCGGTGTCACGCCCACTGTCTAATATTGAACGCGGTTCCTATAAAGTCATCTCATACCATCCCAGAGATAAAATTTAATGTCTTTGGCGTGTTTAGCGCTTGGTTTACCGCGTTTTTAGTATTTTTTAACAGTGCCGTTATATGGGGAGTGGGCGGAATTGCCACCCGATTTCAAATATTTTCACACTGTAGGTAGAGGTTCTAAAAACATTTGCTTTCAGTGAATTTTGTTATTATAGCATTAGCGGTTTAGGAGATATGCACATTAAACCTATTATGGGCGGGACCACGCCCACTTTAAAAAAATTTTTAACTGCAGATGCCCCTCTCTAATGTGATCCTGTGTACCAAATAACAGTCTTGTAACTTATTGCTGAGCTTAGTTATGGCAATTTATTTGTTTTTGATTAATGGCGTTTTGTGGGCGTGGCAGTGGTCCGATTACGCCCATCTGCAATACCAATCGTCTCACGGCACCAAGAAACATGTCAAGTTTCATAAAGATATCTCAATTTTTACTCAAGTTAGAGCTTGCACGGACGGACGGACGGACAGACAGACGGACGGACGGACAGACAGTCATCCGGATTTCAACTCGTCTCTTCATCCTGATCATTTATATATACATAACCCTATTTCTAACTCGATTAGTTTTAGGTGATACAAACAACCGTTAGGTGAACAAAACTATTATACTCTGTAGCAACAGGTTTCGAGAGTATAAAAATACTATTGCTTCGTTGATTATCGTTGGTAATTATGACAAATGAACGTTGATATTCATACGATAAAAGATGGTGCTTTTGTAAGTTTTAGTTATTTGTCGTTTTTTAATTGCATCATCAGAATATAAAACATTTTAAAAATAATATTACTCACAACTTTAAGCAAAAGTGAAAATAAAAGTTTTTGAAAAGATTAGTGTTTAATAACACAAAGTAAAGAAACAATAACAAGTTGAGTTGTTAAGAGTTTTCTGACTAACTTTATAGTAAGCCATTTTCTAACCAATATCGTTTATTATGTATTCAGTTTAAAATATATAATTAGTATCTTGTTTATTGACATTTTCAAAAAATTTTCATCCGAGATAGCCCAAAGTCATTTCCAAAATCCTTCCATTTTTCAATTTTTAGAGAGTTTATTGGTCTATAAATTGATATTTTTATACTCTTGCAACATGTAGCAAAAAGATAGTTTTGTTCACCTAATGGTTGTTTGTATAACTTTAAACTAATGGTGATTGATATAGAGTTATCTATACTATATATAACAAGTAACAACGGCCTAACCGAAATATTTATATTGTAACGGTATAAAGGTCCCAATTTAATAGTTTACTTTATTTCCGCTTATCTTTATTTCTAATTCAAACCACTAAACGCTTTATTGCTCATATTTTATTCACATATACATCTATTACTTTATTACACGCTAGAACTCTAACTAGAACTGAGTTTGCTGCACAATCCTGCAGCCCTTATTTCGTAGATATTTAAATTCGAACATTCTGGCAACTACGAATGTCATAATCATATGTAGTATATGGGCATTAAATTGTAGTATATCCAATATTATACGTTCACTTAATACGTTCACATATACCTAAATATTGACCGATATATGATGTACAAAGTCAACTGAAAACCATTATTTTAGGTAGTATTTAACCCCATTTTTGCCAAAAAGGTATGCTGTTTTCTCAAAATATTCTTTCCGAATTTCATATTGAAAGATATTTTCGGTAAAAAGTGTTCACATTTTCGGTATCTGGGCACTAAAGCGAAGTTTTATTACGATGACGTAATTGACATTGAATTTAAAATTGTTATATAATATATTGGAAGTAGAGATGGCTATAGTCGGATTTCGCCCATTTTCACAGCGTGAAACAGGAATGTCTGGATAATGTTATGCTAAATAATTGGTTAAAATTGGTTGAGAAGTTCCTGAGATATATGATTTGACTTAAAGGTGGGCCAGCTTTTTTTCCAATTTTGATACCGGCTTTTATGAAGCTCTTCTCTTACGATGGGGAATTTAATGCTTATGACGTATTGATTTATACACTTGTCGCACTTTTAGTAGTTTTTTTTTATATGGGAGTCGGCGAACTTAGCCCTTTATTATTTGTTTCCAAATTAAACTACTCACCACAAGTACATTGTCAAAAGTAACCGGTTATTAAATAAGCAATAGTTAAATATAGGAAAAAAAGTTTCAAGTCGACGTTAACAGCTAATTGATTTAATCGAAGTGTATTCATCAAAGTGAAATAAGTATATGACATTTAATTTTTCTTAACGCTTATTTGATATTTTTTTTTTGTTTGTCATTGATTTAACCCTAATTTTCATCCAAAAAATTAAAATTTGGAAATTCAAAAGTAAACAAATTTCAAAATGAAACAAAATATTTTTTATACTATCGCAACATGTTGCACAGAGTATAATAGTTTTTCAAATAAATAAATGTGAACAACGACAACGTTTGCAGGGATAGAAATTTGGTAGACATAGTTTTTGATAAATGCGAAGATATTGCTCTTGAGGATAATGTCAAGAAAGTTTTTTAGGTGCAGGTTACATTTTCGAATCAAGCATTTGAATACAAATTTGAAAAATAAACAGTTGCATCAAAAATATCCCAACGACAAAGAAATGTTTTATACATTTTCTTGAGAATACACTATTAGAAACAAAACTATTCATTTATATGATCTATGCTTTTGAATGAACTATATTAAAAATTATAATCTATACTAATATAATTTAAAGAGTCGGATACGTATACAGTTTCTAATGGTTTGGCGGGATACAGGTAACTACGTATGTATGGTATATAGTTAACATACATTAATATAGTAGTTTTAATATTTGTGACTAATGTTACATTTATACACGTATATTATTATTTGTTAAATATTATAAGTGGGACTTTAACAAAGTTGTTGCTTGGTGTGATGGAAATGATTTGCCATTCAATCTCAATAAATGTAAGACGATGTGTTTTTCCCGTAGATCTGTGCGCCCCTCTCCTTATGTAATACAGCACCATAGTCTAAAGCAAGTTTTTAACTATGTTGATTTGGGTGTTAATATGGACCCTAAGCTTAATTTTAGTCTTTATATTGTGCCATGACATTGAAAGGGGACCTCAGTTTTGTTAAACGTTGGATCACTTTTTACAACTTTGGTTAGACCTACTTATATTGGAATATGGCTCTGTTGTATGGAACCCTAGCTACCAAGTAAATTCTGACAAGTTAGAGTCTGTTCTGTTTTAGATCTCAACACTTGAAGATCTTGCCTTTTCTGACTTGGCTAATTTTGCCCGTATGCGCGCAATTCGCTTGCGTCGGTTAGGCGGGAGGAGGGTAATCGTTGGGTTATTAATACACAATTACAGACGGCTTAATATAAACAAATAAATGAATTGTTTACTATACTATTATCAAGAAAGCGTAAGTCAAATACTTATTTCACATTGTTGAATACACTTTGGTACATAGTAGTGTATGCATTTTGAAGTTCTCGGTAATGAAAACATGTTTAAACGAGGTAGATATAAATACCATATGTATATCGTAATATATAATAATAATAAGGAGGAGGCTGATTTTTAGTTGTCTCAAGAGGGTAATTCTATTACTTCCTTTGTATTAAAGCTGTTACCGCTTCTGGCAACCATTTTTGAGCGTTACTTGCGTTAGTTTCATTTCCAAATGCAATCTTTTTAAACCGGGGGTCTAAGAAAGTCGATTTGGCACATATCTTATTTGACTCTAATTGCCCAAGTTGTCGCGAAATAACTTGCAACAAACTACTTTTTAAGAATTCTCCCTCCGCAATATTCATTTGCTGGGATATTATTGGAACAACCAGTGACATCGTTGGATAGTTGTGCGGTGAAAGTTCTGTTGTCATATGCTCTATCGACTTCAATACGTTGATAGAATTACATAATATTTTCAACTCTGATGCATTCAAAAAATTCGGTGCATTTGGTAAAGAAGTTATTACAGCAGAGTGCGGTTCTTTTATCAATCATATACGTTCCATCATGAGAAGGCCACAATTCCATCTAGTAGCAACATATTGCTTCATCTTAGGATCAGCCACACCCATTTGCCTTTGCATGCTTTTAAGTTTTTCTGCTGCTTGAGAGCTATGATTTAAATATATTACTATAGCTCTGCATTACGTTATAAGCTCTGAAATCTGAGGAACAGCCTTTATGGCATCAACAACGCATACATTTAGGGTGTGAGCCACACATGGGTGGTGGAGTTTTTGTAAAATATCACTTATCGCTTTTTTGATATTCATTTTATTTTCCCAAAAAAAAAGGTTTGGCTGTTAGAAGTCTACATATCTGTTGATATAAAATTTAATGTTCTTGGCGCATTTAGGTATTGGTTTTAAGGAGTTGTTAACGAAACCGTTATATGGGAGGGCATTTTATAGGTTTTCGATTAATGGCGTTTTGTGGGCGTGGCTGTGGTCCAATTACATCCATACACGAACAAGGTCTAAACCAACTCATTACATCTTCAGCACTAAAGCACATAATATTTAAGAAAGCTTGTCCACTTAATTTCATTAAAATGTCACAAATTTTGACCAACCTAAACGATTTAAAATCATCATTTATCAGTGAAAACTCGGAAATTAATGTAAAATATGGGATATATTGTGGGCAGAAAAATTCTTTGGCTAATTGCACTAAGTTTTTACATTTCTGACGTATACTCGTGCACATATTTTTAGGCAATTTAAAAATATATAACACAGTACTGTTAGTGCGATTCGTTTTACCATATATGCGGCTTAGTTATGGCACTTTACACGTTTTTGATTGGTGTCATTTTGTGAGAGTGAAATTAGTCCGATTAATCCATCTACGATACCACATTGTCTTTGAAATATCACATAGGTACGTATATTGACCAACGTAAGCGGCTTAAAGTCAGTTAGAAAGTCGGAAATAATTATATCGGTGTATGTTATTTAGGCTAGGAGAACGAGGACTGATTGCGTTAACGTGTGACATTACTGAAGATCTTCGGGAACGTATTTCCATGCAATTTTATGAAGCGAACACACACACTGACTCACATATACGATAATCGTTGACCAACAATTATGCTGCGATTTTGACAATTTTCAAACTTGAGATGGCATACCTTGAAGTCACTATTTGTACAAAGTTTTATTGGTGCTTGATTTGGATACTGTAAATTGAAAGAATCATATGAAATTTAGACTATTCTTATATAAGTGGTTGGTTGAAATTACTTGTAGTCAAGCTGCTCCGGAGATACGGAATTTCACCGAGGGCGTTGGCAAGCCTGTTGCCATCGCACTTTTAGTAGTTTTCGACATAACCGTTATATGGGGCAGGGTTATCATCCGATTTCACTAAAGGCATAGAAAATGATTTTATAAATGCATGAAATTAAATTATATTTAAAAAATATAAATTTTACACTTTTTTATATAATGTATGATGTTAATTAGTTATTAATTGAATGTTCATCACAAACTGGCTGTTGACAATTACGAGGGTTGCCTTTTATATGAAGGGATTAGAGAACAAAAAAATATTAATCAACGAAAATCGCTTTATTGCTTTTCAAAATATTCTGCATTAAAATCTATACATACATCAGGTGTTGAAAAACGTTGACCTCTTAGTTTATTTATTTCGTACGCAAATAAATAGAAGTCATACGGTGCCAAGACAAGATTATACGGTGGATTACTCATCAAATCGATGTTTTAAGTGCTCAAAAATGCAGTTGTTTCGGTCGATGTGTGAGAGCTCGCATTGCCATGGGGAAAAGTGATTTCTTGACGACTGGAAAACAAATGATTGTTTACCACTCAGGACTTAATGTTCTGCGTTGTTCTGGTGGTATGGTTATCACTGCTGTTTACTTTCGGGCTCATACGCGTAAATCCACGATTCAACACCTGTCACGATGACGTGTTTTAAAGCATCGCTATCATATTTTTTTTTTAATTTCTCTAGACTAATCGACATTAGCCTTTGTTTGAGCCATTGACAAATTGTGTGGGATCCAACGTGAATAATTTTTTTGTACTATCAAATGTTCATGCAATATTGAATGTATGCTATAGTTTTCTCAATCTCACTATGACGATCTTGCAATATCAGTTTGAGCGCAACATCAATAGTTTCCGGAACAATAACTGATTTCGGACGACCGTCATGAAATTCGTCTTAGATTTATCTACGACCTCGATTGAATTCACTATACCATCGATAAACACTGGTCCTTGATAAAGCTTTATCGCCAAAAATTTAATGAGGTATATCGCAATTTAAATAAATTTTTTGACCGAGATGAATATCTTAAGTTACTGTAAACAACACAAATAGCGCTAGTATGTCAAAACTTTCTGAGTATATATAACATGATAAATGTCAAACTTTACGGTAAAGTTATGAGTTGCCAGATTGCAACACTATGGTTGCCAAATCCCAAAATATATAAAGGCAACCTGCGTATTACAACCCTTGCGGGTCCTTTGTTATCTCTTTATTGGTAATGCAATGCACATATGGCAAGGTGTTGTGACTTGTATCGTTCTAGTTTTATCTACATCGCCCAAAACACTCACTATTCCAATATTCGTAGTAAAATGTCGCCTCACTTGAGGGAACGCTGTGCGTTGTTTTATCATTGGTAGACGTTTTTCTGGCTATTATTTTATTATTTTTATAATAAATTAGATATGATGCCAGTGACGAAATGTCTAGCAAGTTGAAAATCAATGCCATTGGCCACCTCTAGATCGTCGACTTATGTATGTATCTGCGAACCATTTCATCCATAGTATCAACGCCAGTTATATTGATTATTTATAGTGTATTCAACAAGATGAAATTAGTATATGACATTTAATTTTTATTTACGCTTATTTTTCTTTATGCCTATTTGATATGTATGTTGTCATTGAGTGGTGTGCCACTCAGTTTGTCATCGAGAATACATATGTATGTTATGTATGTAGGCTACATTTTAAGGCGGAGGAAATTAAAGAATCTCCCCTTAAAAGAAGACGACTAACCCCGATGCAGTATCTTCATTAACATAACTTTCCACTCTTAAAGAAAACAAGTAAGAAACCCTCATCTTCTGATAAATAAAAATTTTAAGTTTTTACCATTGATTAGCCCACAAAACAAAATAATGTTTTATACACTTACTTGAGAATACCATGAATACACTATTAGAAATTTAGTTTTTGATTTATATGATCTATGCTTTTGAATGAATGTATCAAAAAATTATAATAACTATTATAATTTAAAGAGTCGGTTAAACATCTGTATACAGTTTCTAATAGTTTGGCATGATACTGGTAACTCCGTATGTACAAGTACAAGTACATATATAATTATAATTGTCCCTTTTTCTATTACGTATCTATTTATCATATGTATGTTACATAAATCTTCATATTGTTTAAGATAAGAAAAAACACAGATGATTGATACAAACAAATTAATGCATTTTTTACTATTTTATTGTCAAATAAGCGTAAGTCAAATACTTATGTCACTTTGTTGAATACACTTTGTAATAACACAGCTCTATAAAAATAAAATTTTTTTGTTGCTCCAGATATCTTAGTATATTTTGATGCTTTGCAGATTACGAATTTATTCATAAAACTATTGAATATGCTCTTGCTCTTAAAATGTTTGCATATTTTATTTTTTGATGAATTATCGGCTTGTTATCAATAAAATTGATTTTTTCAGTCATGATTAGGGTTCTGGCATTTTCCCCGCATACAAACATCACATGATCTCCACTATCAGCTCTCTATGCGGAAAGCTTTAGTGACATTTGTAGAAAATTTCCGAACTTAGTATGGAAAAGCTGAAAGGTGGAATATTTGATACAGTAAAGAAATAAAAGATACAGATTTTGTCAAATTTATGACTGTTCTGGAAATTGAATAGTGTAAAATTTTTTGTTGGTAGTCAAAAATTTCCTAGGCAACCATTAAGTACCAAATTATGAAGAAATTATTTAAAATATACTGACAAACTGTCAGACTATAGGAGCAAATTTGAGTATCAAATTAGACTATCTCCGTAATCATCTGCATACATTTTTGGAAAAATTTGGAAATTATAGTAAGGAACAGAGAGAAAGGTTCAACCAGGATCTAAAAGTGATGGAAAAATGGTATCAAGGCTGTTGAGATCGTCATATGATAGCAGATTACTGCTAGTCCTTAAAAAGTTAATGTCACCAGGAAAATTATAAAAGAAAACCTCATAAAAGGTTTTATTGAAATATGGTATAACTCGTGTTTTCGACATTTTTCTTTCTGTTTACTTAAAATATGTTATTTGGCTTCATGTTTTTTGATTTTTGTAGTGCAAAATGGAAATCAAGATTTTAAATTTAACGAGAGCAAATCTTACCAAATTATTGATAGTTTCATGAACCTTGGGCACAAATATATCCAAAACCGATCTTATATCTAAGGCAACAAAGCCACTGTAATTTATCATATCTGGATTTCGTCTGGTATCATCAACTGATTCATCTGAATTTATTGTCGATAATACAATGACATTTTTTTAGGTACAAAAGAACACATGGTCACCTTTTCGTGAAATCCAATAACAGATGAATATTGCTCTATTGTCATATTTGCTGCCATAACACAAGGAATGTATGGTTTATTTTTTTTTTGTTATTATTGGACCAACAATGATAAGATTCCATAATTTATACAGATATTCCTGCCACTTCCTCGGTACCGATTCGCTGATTGCTGCATTACTCTTTCATCCTGACTTTTTAGGCGAGTGCTATTTGTTTCATCAGTGTATATAATAAGGTTCAAATTTTGATTGAAATTGAAGTTTGTATACCTAGGGTAGATTTGAATTCAGCTTTGTCCACATATCACGGATTGGAGTTGCCTTATCTTCTTTTATCCGTTGACTTCGAGAGTTATCGAACATTAAAAAGCGTATAATATTTTGGAATATATAATATTTACTTCTATTGTTGCGCGATACAGTGAATAAGAATTAGAATCACACATATCAAAAGAGTGATCAGTAACAGATTATTTTTCATTCTTTCCGAAAATACTATAGTAGTATAGTAGTGGTAGTAGTTTCCTTGGATAATAATCTATGCCAAATTTCTTGAAGATATCTCGCCAAATAAAAAAATTTGTTAATAGAGGGACATCCAGTTGATCGCTCCGTTTGTATGGCAGCTATATGCTATAGTGGTCCGATATCGGGCCGGTTGCGACATATGAGAAGCATCTTGAAGAGAAAGGTCGTGTGCAAACGACTATCTCAAAGTGTTCACAGTTCGATATCTCAAAAACTGAGTTACTACATGCGGACGTACGGACAGAAGGACATGGTTAAATTAACTCATACATTTTTGAGGGTATCCGACGTTTCCTTCCGGGTGTTACAAACATTGTGGCAAGCTTAATATACCCTGTTCAAAACACTCTTTAAAGCACTTTAAACTAAAAAGTAAAGAATTATTCCTAATATAAACTGACACTAATACTGACCGAAAGTTGTGCCATATGTTTTGCATATCAAGCTTACACTTTTCTCACAATAATACAAGTATTTTCGGTCAATATTATTGTCAGTTCAAAGAGGTTAGGTGTGTTTTAGAGTTTCAAAAAAAGGGCAGTTTCACTTTTTTTAATATATACGAGCACATATTTTATTTAAAAAATTCAGAATATCAAAGATACATATTTAAACTATATTTTGGGAAACTGTTATTTAAAGATTCCGAAATCTCAGCCTTTGGTACCTCATCGTCTTTGATGTCTGAAAAAAATGCGTTTACCGTGGACAGCAGATTACGATTCATCAAGTGTTGATTCATTGAGAGTTAAGATACAAATGAGTTGGTAGGGAACATTTGTTATGAACGAGCCTTAACTTTTTTCTGCTTGGTTGGCATGACAGCTGTCAAACATATTCCATAACCTTACAGTCATTGAACAAGCAACATCATATTTTTTCATTGTGTTGAAAATGTCAAATTTTATACCGAAAGTGATGATTTGCAGAAATCATTAACTTTTTGTTTCCATTAGAAGAAAAGTGGTGCGGAGTCGTATCGCATGCTTGTCAACGCGTCCCTATCAGAAGCAACATGCAAAAGATGGTTTCAATGATTCAGAGATAATGATTTTGATGTGAGAAATGAAGAACGAGGAAGACCAAAAAAGTTTGAAGACGGCGAACTGCAAGCAATATTGGATGAAGATGATACTTTGAGTTAAAAGCAAATGACAGTCATATTAAATGTTTCACAACAAACAATTTCAGATCGTTTGAAAGTTATGGAAAATATTCAGAAGTGTGGCAAATAGGTGCTACATGAATTGAATGAAAGACAAATGGAAGACCGAAAAAACACTTGTGAAATTTTGCTTCAAAGACACGAAATCACTGGCGATGGAAAATGGATTTATTTTAAAAATCTTAAACCGAGAAAATCATGGGCTAATCCGGGATAACCATCAACATCGACTGCAAAAACAGATCCGGCAATGCTCTGTGTTTGGTGGGATCAGACGGGTGTGGCATATCATGAGCTTCTAAAACCAGGTGAAACTTTTAATACTAATCGCTACAGACAACAAATGATCAATTTGAAACATGCATTGATCGAAAAACGACCAGAATGGGCCAGAAGACAGAGTAGTTTTGTTACATGACAATGCACCTGCACGCAAATCAAAATCGGTTCAGGATACCATCAAAATACTTGTCTGGGAGCTGCTACCCCACCCGCCGCACAGTGGAGCAGCATACCAGAAAAGTTGGCAAAAAATCTTTTTTTTAAAATAGCCGGTAAAACTTTTCGTTTACTGCTTTGGACTTATGAATATTCTAGTAACAATAAACCAACTGTTTTTAAATGCCATTTTCAGCATCTCTCTTTTCACAGCCTTACAAACATAGAGTTTATGTTCGCAATAAGTGCAGTTTGATTTTTGTGTATTTTCTAATCGCAGTTTGAATACATATTTTCCAGTCACTAAGTATAGTTTAACAACTTTAATTATGGAACCGTCAACATCGGGTATTTATAAAGATTAATTTATATACACTGTGTGAGTAATTGTAATTTGTAATCACATAATCACATTTAGGTCGTTGTTTTTTGGAAGTCTAACTTAACAAGTTTATTTTCCTACAGTTTAAGTTTTTAAAATTGAACAAGTAAGGAAGAGATAAGTTCGGATTTAACCGAACATTTTATACTCTCGCATAGTCAAATGGTATACTCATTTCAGATTTCTTTGTGGATCTTGCCGCCATGTTCTTGTTGATAGGTATTTTCGGTAAAAAGTCAACTATAGGCACTGGGGTCCACATATTCAGTACCTAGGGGATTGAGCCGTTTTGGTTCAATTTAGATAATTTTTGGTCACAAGGTGGCATACTTTAAACGTATTATTCACGCAAAGTTTTACGCCGATAATCATTGTTGCTTGATTTGCATAGTGGAAGGTGAAAAAATCAGAGGAAATTTTAAATGTTGTTATATGGGAAATAGGCGTGGTTGTAATCCGATTTCGCCCATTTTCGTACTATAGCATAGAAATATGAGAAGAATATTATGTACCGAATTTGGTAGAAATCGGGTAAGCAGATATCAAGATATGGTGGTTCCTATAAAATCATCTTATACCTTCCCAGCGATAAAATTTAATGTCTCTGGCTTGTTTAGTGCTTGATTTATCGCGCTTTTAGTAGTTTTTAACAGTACCGTTATATGGAAAGTGGGCGGGGTCGTCACCCGTTTTTATTCATTTTCACGCCGTCGATAGAGATGCTAAAAACATTTGTTCCCAGTGAGTTTTGTTATTATAGCTTCAGTGGTATAGGCGACATGTACATTAATAAACTGCAGATGCCCCTCCCTAATGTGATCCTCTATACCAAATAAGAGTCTTGTATCTTTTTGTGGAGCTTAGCAATATATTTCTTTTTGAATAATGACGTTTTGGGGGCGTGGCTGGGGTCCGATTACGCCCATCTGCAATACCAACCATCTTACCATCCAAGAAACATGTGTACCAGGTTTCATAAAGATATCTTGCACAGACGAACGGACAGAAAGTCACCCGGATTTGAACTCGTCTCTTCATCCTGATCAATTATATTTATATATATAACCCTATATCTAACTCGATTAGTTTTAGGTGATACAAACAACCGTTAGGTGAACAAACCTATTATACTCTGTAGCAACAAGTTGCGAGAGTATAAATAATTCAAGCCGAAAATGTGATCGGCCTGAGAGATCCTTTGAAGAAAGCTCACAGCAAATTATACGTATAAAAAGGCAAAGCTATATACGACATAATCAAAGCTCTATACGACATACGCGCTCCCCAATATCTCGTAAATATTATAACGAGCTATTTTAAAAATCGCATTTTGTTATTCGACACCGACGAGGGCACTCAGAGCTACACTATCTCGGGTGGAGTACCGCAAGGCTCGGCCTTAGGCCCCCTACTATGGAACTTGATGTACGACGGGGAAACAATAAAGTATGCGGATGAACTCATAGTGGTAGCAGTGCAACGATTGCATAATGGTCTACGCCAATGGTTTGCTACCATGAGCTTAGAGCTGGCCGAGCAGAAAACGGAAGTTTTGCTCATAAGCACAAGGAAGGTAGAAGAAAGGCTGTCACTCACCATTGGGGAGTGCGAGATTACTTCACAGCCGCAGATTAAGTATCTGGGAGTAATACTAGACTCCAAATTAAAATTTAAAGAACACCTGGTACCACGAATAAAATTTATAATGCTCTATCGAGGATGATGGCCAATAGAGGCTGCGTGCGCTCCAGTCGGCGGTTTTTAATAGCAAAAGCAATGAGTTCGGTGATATTATATGCAGAACCAATATGGATACAAGCGCTAGACATAAAATCATATGCTCGACAAATAAACGCAGTGCATAGGCTTTCTGATTTCGGACATTCATTCGTGGATAGACAGACGACTTGGGGACCTGAATTTCCACCTAACCCAAATACTGAGTGGGCATGGATGCTTTAGAAAGTATCTATTCCGATTTCATCATGCTGTTAGTCCGTTTTGTCCGACCTGTACAGAGTGCATAGAAGACTCTGAATACGTATTTTTTCAGTGCCCCCGTTTTTTTAAATATTAGAGAAAAGTTAAAATCTGCACTCGGTAGTCTAACGGTGAAAACCTTGACAGCACATATGTGTCAGTCCTCTGATAAATGGAAAGCTGTCAGCGAAGCGTCAGCTCTTATTATGACAAAACTGAGATACTTACAACATATTAGAAGTCAGTCAATCCGTACTGCAGAGGAGACTTAAATGTCCTTTTCTCTCCCATGAAGTAATACTTAATCCAGTGGTTCCGTGGGAGAGACATGAGGTGGGAGTAGACACAAGATTTAAGGATATCTACGCTAATTGATGTTCTGAGTTTTGGTTTGAAATTATGGGTATCGGATTATAATAGTACGAATATGTGTTCAAAAACTTCATCAGAATATTATGAAAGTACTTCTTTGTCAGGTGAAGATGCTTTGGCTGTGATGGTAGATGCCAAGTTGAGAAGGAATCAGTACAATATAATAACATTGGTTGCTCGGGATAAATTTCCTTCTTATAAAGTAATACAGGAAGAAAAAAGAAATATTATTCTCTGAAAGAACACATTAAGGCAACTAATACGGTTGTGTGTACAGTTATACAATCCTTACTGGACCACACAATATGCCGTCTGATTATTGCAGAGAGGGATGTGATAGATTCTATTCCCCCAAAGGATTTACACAAATTGCGTATGTACACAAAGTGGGGATTCGATAGTAGCTCAGGCTAAGGTCATATAAGCAAGCGTTTCATGATATTGAAGCTTCTGATTCTGCTGTTTTCATAATTGTACCCATTCGTGTTGAATTTATTAAGGAATCCTCTGAAGTTTCAATAG